TCAACCAAGGCCCCATGTCGCCTTGTACATTGGGCGAGGAAGTGAAGTAAATTAACATTCATTCACCTTCCAATTATTTTAGTTCCTGACCAGGTTACTGCCCAGACACCATTACTAAAGGGACAAGAGTGATTCTGCTATCGGAACCTCCTTATAATGAGCTAAAGGATAAATCATGGGAAAACACTGCTCAGGAGTTCCACCTTCCCTCCATTCTTCCATACAAGATCTCACCCTCTGGCCAGACCGGACCTTCCATCTAATGTAATCATGAAATTCATCAAAATCTGCTGATTCTACTCCAAAGCCCCGCACCATATGAGGAGTCTAGAAATCCTAGATCACCATCCCATTGGTATATCATTATAAACTAAAAGATAAGTGGTTTAGAAAAGCCAAGTCCAAATATCTTTGACATTTAGATTCTAGATATGCCTAAAACTTAAAAAGTTTGATAGATAAAAATTTCCAGTATAATGGAATCTTCCTTTTGTTACTTGTAAGCTTTTTCCGGCTTTCATTTTCTAAATTTCATGCTTTTTATACATAAAAACATTGCTTAACAATAAAAAAGTCTCTATGAACATCTAGCATCTAGCATTTTGTTTGGTCCATAGAACATCATTATTCTTGTTATGTCCATAAAAGTGACTTTACCTTGTGTCACATGTGAATTCACCAGTTAAACTGAATTATAGGAACATCCATCATTTTAGTCCTTCGTTTATGTTTGGAACCAATCAACTACTTTTGTGGAATATATTTGAAAATTCACACTTGGTTTAACAAGAGTTGATGAATTTCCATTACAAAATGATCAAATTGACTTCTAGATAATTATTTCGAAAAAGAAATGACTTCGAAAGAGTATAAAGTAAAATAGGAACAATACACTCCATTTCCACCAAATTTGACTTGATGAGATGTTGAAAACACTAGCTTTATTATGTCCAAATAGAGTTTCTACCTTCTCCTAATTGCCTTAAGAGTGAATTTCGGAATGAATCATACAAAACTAGTTTATATAGGCATGTTCTTCATGATATAGGAATTTTATATCTCAACATGAACTAGGTTACTGGAACATTTGTTGCTGCCTCTGGTGTCGAATGAGTTGCATAAACTGAAATTTCATTCTTTCGGTTGCTATAATTGAAATATATTTGTTGATGTCTAACTTAAAATATCACACATGTAATCTGATGAATCTCTCGATATTAAAACCTGGAATTCCTTCGTTGAGATGTGAAATATGAAACTTCTATGACATTTCATCAGAAACCAGAACTTCCTGCCAAAGGATCATGCATTGTCTTTTGTATTTTAGCAAAATATTAACTTTGTATGATTATCGTTTTTTCATATGATTTGTATCACTTAAACATTTTTGCTAGAAGGTCAAACACAAGCTTCATGCTTTGTAAATTTGAATAGTTGCATAAGTTTGTCGTTACCTTGAACATGGTATCCTGTTTCTTTGTACTGCAGGCATTTGGAGCAGACAGAAAAGAGCTTAGGGCTACACTTCCATAGGTTATGACCAAGTGGAGAGCGCTGTGATACAATCCTCCCCCTCCTTGTTTATTTAAATCCTCCTTCCAAGTCTTTTTGATGAAAAGAAAAGAACAATAAAAATTTGAGATGGAAGATGATCATTTCATCATATAATATTGTCATCTTAATTTTTAACCCTTTGTATTGTATAGATCACTATCTATAATATTGTCATCTTGATTCTTCCCCGTACAAGGGGTGTAATGGTGTTGCGATTTCACTAGTGCAGCCTTTCGGAAGAGGTTACTATTTGCCATTTCTTTGATTGAATTGGCTGCTTTTGTGCCCGTGGAAGACATGGCTCTTCTTCTTGACACTACAGGGAGCTTATATGCTTTGCTCTATTTTTTCCTTTTATCAGTGTAAACTTTTTCCACTTTACTTGACTGTTGTTTTGTTGTCTTGTTGCAAAATTGACCACATCTTCTGGGTTTGTATGTTTTTGCTACCTTTTTTTTTTTTTTTTTTTTGTAAGGTTGATGAATTTATTTGAAAGATTGATCAGGTTTCGCAGGTTCTGTTGTTTAAATCTCCTTGGTTTAGAAATTTACATATTTTCATAAAAGCTGGAAATGATTGTTAATTTGTCAGGTAAACATCCCTTGCTTGCAATGCTATGCTGGGAGTGAGGTGTTGTTTAGGACTTCCACTGTTAATGATGTTCTTGGATATACCTTTCCTGTTTAACCGATTTTTAACTTTACTTTGTACTAAGCTGGTTAATTTAAAATTTTGACAATCTTGTATTAAGAGCGAAGATTTGTTATTATACTCAGCATGGGGAATTCTCATTATACTCTTGAGCAATAGAATTCGGAAAACTGGTATTGATTTCTGTTCTGTTTCAAATGAAATTGAAGCCTAATGATGAAGTTCTCTCTTACCAGCATGTTTATCCTAGCCATTGCTTTTCAATCATTTGTTTATTTGTCGCCCATATATTTTATATTATGTTTGGACGGTGGATATACATATCACTATTTCTCAAATATTTTCTTAATAGGGGAGAAAATAAAGAATTCAAATATATGAAGTGTTAATCATGTCCTTTTAAACAGTCGAACGGCTAAATGTTATTTGTTTAAATATTTACAATAATATATACAAGAATCAAGAAAATGTGTATTCGTTCATTACTTGGTCAGTAAATTTCAATTCATTTGGAATATTAAGTATGACAAGGACAAAAGTGGAACCCACCAGTAGCTTGGAAGTGTACTGTAAACGTCAAAATTCTACATCAACGCGCAGCCACGTGCCCCAACCAACACCACCCTCTTCTTAATCCTCCCCGTTTACTAA